AGAAAAAGGGGCCGCACTGGGAATCGAACCCAGGTCACTTGCACTTTCACCCAGAGGTCCCAAAGCAAGTATCGTACCTCTGGACCATGCGGCCGGTTGAAGGATCGTGGAAACTGTCCCTCATATCCATGTCGAAGGGCACATGAACGAAATTGATGCAAAATGGAAAGCAAAACACAGGAGAAAAAAATGGAGAGATTTCAATATTTCAATGCCCGAAGGACGTGTGGATCCATGCACAACGTACGGTATTTGACTCGTTTGGTGGTCAAAAAGGAGCGACAGGCCTGGGACTCGAACCCAGAATCTTTAGCTCAGTATCAAGCACACTTGACCGGAAACTAACGCGTTGCCATTACGCCAACCCACCTCGGCCGGATTTATTCTCCGTAGCACTTATGATACGTGGATGGCAACCTTAGGAGCGCATTACGCGTAATTTCATCGGAATTTCGTCGTACACACCTTGTTGATAACGACAGTTTTGAGGCTGGGGTTCTGTCCGTCGACAGATTTTCGTCGTTCACGGGCCGGTAGCCTGCGGTCAAACTCGCTTCAGGATGACGCGTTGTTTGATTTGGCTCTTTCTTGCACACGAGTTGCACCCACCTCTCTCCTCGCTGTACCTGGCGTTCTGAAAGAATGTCATTCTTCGGTTCGGCCACGACATCGGTCGTGGCGCCATCTACGTCCACAACGGCCGAGAAAGATATGGAAGTTTCAGAGCCACCAGCAGATTCTATTTCTTCCCTTGCGTTTTCGCCCCAAGCTGATTACCTCGCCGTTGGGAGCTGGGATAACAGTGTAATACACCAAATCCTCTTGGAAATACTGCCTCTGTGCTGATTGTTTGACAAGGTCAGGATTTACGAAATTTCTGCCACAGGCCAGACGCAGGGGAAGGCAATGTACCAGCACCAGGGCCCTGCTTTGAGCGTGTGTTGGAATAAGGTGCGTTCGACTAAGTCCATGCGCGGTGGCTTCCAATACGTGTCAAGGAAGGGAACAAAGTCTTCTCTGGAGGAGCAGATAATGCCGCTCGCATGTTCGATGTCACGACGGGACAATCCCAGCAAGTAGCCCAGCACGACGCGCCAGTTAAGGTTGTGAGATGGATTGACGCACAGAGCGGCATCCTTGTCACGGGTAGTTGGGACAAAACAGTCAAGGTCAGTCTGCATTCGTGTTTGACGCGTTTCTGTTTGACCCACGGGTTCGACAGTATTGGGATTTGCGATCACCACAACCAGTCGCGACTGTTCAACTCCCAGAGCGATGCTATGGGCTAGACGTTCAATACCCCCTCATGGTTGTCGGAACTGCTGACAGGGAGATTCAAATATTCAATCTAACCAATCCCGGAACTCCCTTCAAGGTCTGTATATTACCAGCGTCACAGCGCTCTTTCCTGACCCTCAGCAGACCATGAAGTCTCCTCTCAAGTGGCAAACACGTGTCGTAACCTGTTTTTCCACGGCGAATAGTGGCGGATTTGCTGTGGGTAGTGTGGAAGGTCGAGTTGCATTTCAGTGAGTGCCACCCATATCCTTGTGAAGATGCCAGTTTTGAATCTCTTTAGATGGATCGATGAGAAGGACTCAGGGTATGTTGGATGCTGCTGAAACGTTTTCTCTGGTCCCTGACCTTCGTCGCAGGAGCAATTTCTCATTCAAGTGTCACCGTCGGGATTCCGTACCCAATGCAAAGGACCAGGCTCTTGTTTATGCTGTCAATGACATATCGTTTCACCCTGTACAAGGCACATTTTCCACTTGTGGTATGTTTGGATTGAACTGCTTCAACCACTACTTTCTAAATCCTAGTTTCCTAGGCGCCGACGGGTCCTTTCACTTTTGGGACAAGGACGCTCGAATGCGTATAAAATGTGGCGTATTTACTATACTCTGACGATTGAGAGTACTGACCAGCTTTCTATCTAGCTTTCGATCCCGTCCCTGGACCTATCGCTGCCACTGCATTCAACCGAACTGGTAGCATATTTGCCTATGCAGTTTCATACGACTGGTCAAAAGGGCATTCTGGTATGACACCAGGACATCCTAACAAAATTATGCTGCATGCATGTAAAGAGGACGAAGTCAGGAAGCGCCCACGAAAGTAGCCTTCCGTAGTCATACAATGTTACGTTCTTTCATTGGTCTCGTTGACTCTTTTTGTGCTCCTTATAATGAACATAGCCTATAATGACCTTCAATCGGATTGCAAGATATGACCGTGTCCGTCTGGTCGCGATCACGGACATTGCGTAGAGAGTCGAACATTGTGTCTAGGTCTTCAGCCTCATGGTGGATGGGCTTACTTTCCATCTCATCGCGGTTTGATTGGGGGTACAAGGCTAGCCCCGCAAGGTCATGCAAGGAGAGTAAAGATACCACCAGCTGGCATTGAAGTTAACACCTGGAGTCGACGGCATCTTGCTTCTTTATTCCTTCCCATAAACTCAGACCAAGACTCCACAGGAATCTGTCCCACGTCTCTTCCCCTTCAGGGTGATATTGTCAACACTCGCGTTGACGACCGACTAGACCTTGTGGCAGTCGGGGGCACCCATAACGCTGCAGTATTTTCTAGGTTCCTTATTATCAGCCATTCGAACGACGAGTGGGCAGACGTGTTTTAACCTGTGCGTTCTTTTCACATATCTCGTCTCATGGTTGTCTGACAACCGTATTTAGGTTCAAAAGATATTCGAGTGCGAATGGAACTATTCGGAATTGCCTGGAAGCTTGAGGTGCCAGTGCAAAACAACTATGCGAAAAAAGAGGCAGACAACCCAGGCAATGCAGCATGCCCTTAGGGATCCTCATGGGTGGACCGCTTCAAAAGTGCCAAACCCCCGATATCAAGATACAGCCCGTGAGGCCTAGCTGAAAATCAATGTCTGCTTGGCGCCCTTTAAGCTTCCGGTAAGCAATCTCAACTTAAATATATTCCAGCAATAATTCTCGGTCAGTGCTGCATATTCCAGGGAGTGTCGTGATGTTTATGCTTCTGGCTCCTTCGAAAAGACCTCGTTGGGCAATGGCGACGACGAAAACTAGAATCCATCGATTGAAAGACGCCGGGAGAAGGTTGGCCTACACTTAAGACAAGCCTTTGCATCAAGACATTTGCAGAGGATTATCGCCGATGTGCCTCGGGAGACTTACCGCCCGATAATTGAACTGCACGAAAGGACGCTCCTTGCATGGGGTCTATATTAGTATGTACATGAGCGCTATTATAACGTGGGTCGCAGAGCTCTATGACTAAAGATACAGTACTAAGTTCGGTGTCACCTTCTCGGCGACAGCTTGATAGGCAGCTTCCCCTTTTTCATGACAAAATAGTCGCATATATCTAGATGCCAGGCATTGACATCATATCCCTTCTCCAGTTCCATCTCGAAATTGTGGAACAACAAACACGTTACCATTCGCATTTCCATCCAAGCGAGTGTTTTGCCAACACACCCAGATGGCCCCAAGGAGAACGGGATAAACGCATCGACAATGTGGTTTACGGCACTTTCAGATTTGAAAAGGTCAGGTCGAAGCTTTATTTGCTGGTCACGACCAAGCCATCGTTCAGGCACGAAGCCATCAGGAAGCGGCGAGAAGTACCGAGGATCTCGATGGAGAGAGTAGGTGGGAATGAACACGCTGGTGCCTTCGGCCACGTAGCTGCAAATCGTTCAACCTTTGAAGCACCATCCAGAAGACGGGTACTCACTACGGCCCGATCTGCTGTCCGCTCGTGCCTCTTCCCACCGCACGTTGGCTACCACTCAAGACCGGCGGATACAACCGGAGACTTTCATTGCTGTTATACAGTCTGTTAGGTGAACCGTCTCTTCATGCAGGATACCCCATCACTTACATAGCTCCAGACAAATAGGGAAGGTGCGGTTGCTTGTTGTAATCCATAATGTCTTCACCCAAACTATCGATCTCAGCTTGCAACCGCCGGTATGTGTCCGGGTTAGACAACAGGAAGAAGAACATGTTGGCCAGTGCAGTTGAAGTGGTATCCGAACCCGCAATTATGGCCAAACCACCTGCATCTGTCAGTAAGCGCTAGCAAGCCCTGAGCCACTCGCCGAATCCTTACCATCACTTACAGCCTCTGCAATAGTTGGCTTAGTCGTGGCAACATCACCTTCATCCATCTACTACAGAGTAAGTTCCTGTGTTGGCATCTATCTTCACGGACAACACACCAAATGATGGTACAGGTCGCGAAATTGTGATCCCAGCTTGTGTCTCATAATTCCCCGATTCTGGGCATAGGAACGAAACGCTTTGAACTCCTTCACAAACATCGGGTACCTGAACGCCAGTGCACCGAGCCACGGGACATGGCTCATGAAGATAGCATGCCTGCCACGAATGTAGGTTGGTGTTTTGTTCCAAATGAAATCGTGTGCCAAGTACTCACACCTGGCCTTCTTCAAGTATATGCCATAATCCGTTGACATCCCCATGGCGCATCATCTCAGAGCCTCCGCCAAACCTGCATGTCATAACAAAGTCAAGCCTCGTGTCCAAAGCCAAGAACCGATCGGGAAATACGAACGCTAGATCGTTTGAGAAGTCGTAGCTGAAATACGCGATCCATTGAGCTAAATCGATAACGCCCTTCTGATTCCCCAGGTGTTCGACAAGTTGTGTTGATCGACGGGTAATGATCTCTTCATAGTCCTTGAGCGCCGTGGTGCTGAAGGCCCTGGTCCAGGGTCGTCGTCTCCGAGTATGATCTGCCTTGTTTCGAATGGAAATCATGGGTCTGATAATTTCTTTCTCAGGAATCCGTCCGTCCCAAACTTTAACGTTCATTTTGCATGAGAACCTGATAGGAGATAGGTACGGCGAAGCTACTTACAAGGTCCTTTTGGTAAACCGGAAGGGCCCATGAGGGGGACGACCATGTTTACGTCCCGTACAGACAATTCATTGGGCCCTGCATACACCCCCACGGGTTTCAGTCATGTTATTCAAAACTCACAGACATGCTGGAAGACGTACCCACACGAACAACATCTCCATACCTCTTGTGGAGTTCGCTGTAATAAACGTGTTGTTTCCCCCCCAATGCGATAAGCGCACACCAAAACTTCGTGACTTTGCAACCCAGCGGGCCGGGATACTGCGCCAACGGATGCCATGGGGAAAGGCGATATGCCACGACGGAGGATAGCAGTGTTGTCCAGTAGATGAACAACGTTATAAGGACCCCCTCGACGATTCCTCTTACATGTTGGACGACAAATGGGGCGAAGCACAATGGAAGGACAAGCAGAAGGACAACCGCGTGCGAGGGTTCGTGCGTTTCAGTCTTCTTGTAGACTAAATGACATAACTGCAAAATGCG